AAAAAATCATGTATCTATTCATTAGCTATATACAGTTTATTGTTTGGAGGGTCACATACATGCTCACCTTCACGCCTATGACCAATATGGAATTAGGATATTACCAGTTACAATACTGCAGGATGCTCCTGGAAGTTTGCCAGTAAGTTTTCCCGCTGGTGGACAATGTTGGCAAACATGTGACAACATTTTTTGGCAAACCACAGTCTGTACTGCAAATCATGCACCAGTTTGCCACAAATCTGCTGCTAACATTTTGTTCTTGTAAGCAACATCACACTTAGTTTAAACAAAGGCTTTGAGCTTTTGGGTATTTCACAAGACTGGGTCTACAGCCATGCTAGCTGCTCTGTAAGGCAACACATAACTTGAGTACACTTATCATTTCCACAATGACAATTTTAAGATGATAAGCAGGCATAAGTCATGCCTGCACTGAGTTTCATGTCAAACCATCAAGTAGTTGTTGAGCTTTTTAACTAAAAGCCAAAGATGTGTACTTAGAGACAGTGCAAGAGGAAATAAAAATCCAGGGACCACTAAGGCAGATAAGGTTCATCCTTTGTGACTTTCTGTACAACATTTAAATGCAATCTGTCAGAGACTTCTTGAGATATTTCACTGTGCACCAAAAGCTATGGACAACCAGCAAAGTCTGTTCAGATCAGCATCACCATCCATACAGTTCTCTGTAAAGAGTTTCAAGAGTTCGAAAGCAAACTCTTTAAAAGTGTAAGAAACTGAATGGATGCTAGGTTAGATGTTGCATACCTGTGAGGGAGGTAAATGGTGCTTTTAATGCTATTATGGAAGACTACGTACTGTACTAAGGAGGACTGTGATGGAAATAAATATTTTGCTTTCGTGAGATGGTTTTGCTTTTAGACCTTTCACTGAGTGCTTTAGGGCTGCTGGTTTCAGTCGGCATCCATGGGAAAGAGGAAACTCTGTATGCTTTCTATCTTGTGTTTGCATAAATTAGGAGAATTCTCTGTCTGTGGATAATAACACCAACATTACTTATAGTTTGGGCAGTTTCAGCTGACCTGTATTGTAGTTTGTAATTAGGGATAAAGACAGCCTTGATGCCGCTGCTCTTGTCCAGTTGAACTTGGGTTGACTTCTGTGGTCTACAGGCTTGAAACTCAACGCTGAGAGTCATCTCATGAGGAAAAGGAAAGACAAACATGTGTCAGGAAGTAGTCTAACGGTGTCCTATGTTTCGTATTGATTATTTGAATTCTGTTTTTGTTTTTTTTGCAACCTGGTCACTCCTGCATCTTGCCAAGGTCATTTTTGTGATTGAACCTTCTCTCTCGTTTTTTTTTTTCTCTTCCCTCTGCGCTCTGGCCTCCGCTCGTTTGGGTTTGTGGTGAAACTGAGCTTTGCTTCATAAAATTTTCCATCAACAGCAGCAAATAACAACAGGGTCAGATGAGGCGAGCGCGGCCCTTCAGCACGCACTATCGAGGCCAGGGCAACGGGCTTGGGTTTGGCCCGTCCTGTGGAATGCTCTCTTCTTCTGGATGGGACTAGGTTAGCATAGAGAGCACCCTGTGCTATCAGAGGCATCATCTGGCCTCAATTGTCCTCACTGAGATGTGCATAATTGCTCTCTCACATGCTATTATTGTTCAGAGGGTTGGTGACAGGCTGTTTGATGGGGATGGTGGGATGTTTAATCACCATGTTGGCTGGATGCCTTTGGGTGGGGGGGTGAATGAAGAGGTGAGGCTTTACTTGAAGAGCTTGTTCACTCTTAGCTGTTTTGTATGCATGTTCTGAATAGTTGGGTTTTATAATGGTATTGTGTTAAGAGGAAATGGGTGGTAAAGCTGCGCTCTGCCAAGAAACTTCTACCTTCACTCAGTTTTCTCAGAGCGCTGAGTGAATGCTATTCTAACACGCCCTGCTTCCCCTCCAACTGAAGCTATTGATGGTCAAATTCCTTCTGTGCCTGCTGCTCTGAATGTGACTCAACAAAGTTCTGGTTCTCCCGCAGGGGAAAAACACCCCATGTTGTTTGGGCCTATCTCCGTATTCAGCACATTCCACAGAAATAGAGAGGGGATTAAATAAACATTACTGTCTCTTTCCAAATGAGTTTGCTTGGTAATTATGCATAATGGTGGATCATTAAGGTTGATTAATAAGGGGTTTTTATTATTGTGCATGTTGGGGGTGGTTTGTACTTCCTAGTTAACCCTCAGAGGAGCGTCTCTCCTGCTCTGCTCTGTTTTTTGTATGTGCCCAAACACATTTCCATGTCTCTGCTCCTGCTGAGCAGATGGTCTGTGTTTTAGGTTCAAGGAGAGCCTTAACCAGAATGGAAAACTTCTCCATTTAATTAAAAAAAGAAAAAAATCAGACCATTCATGAATGCTTGAATTGAAATTCTATTTTTGCATTTCAGCTCCCATATGCTGCAACATGGATTTTTATTTTTTTGGGATCTTGAATTGATTCAGGCCACCCTGTGGAAAACATATCTGCCTGCTGGCCTCCGCTAACTACAGCTACACACATGATCCACACAAAAAGCTCATTCACAGCACCTCCAACAACCTCCTCCATCACAAAAACCATAGTCATTACTTTAATGATGTCATGTGTTACATCAAGGCTGTATGTGTTTAATTTAACGGCTCTCAAAAAAAAATGTCTCAAATGATTTTCCTATATTGAAGGGGATTTGTACTGTGCAGTCTACATCAGACTTAGAGCATATGGCCACAAAAGTCCATTGGGAACCAGTTTTGATTAATACACTGAGCGACTTGAAAGAAAGAAAAGGAGGTTTAACCAACAAAAGAAACCTGAGTTTCCCAAGCAAATCCCCAGCAGACATGGCAGCCACCCAAACGAGTTGTTTTCCCTTTTTTCTGCGCCTGGTTATAATCTGGAAAAATGGATTTCAAAACCACACAGACATATTGGTTTGCTCAAAAAATCAACTTTTCACTGTCAGTCGCCAGCTGCTGTCAATTTTAGACCAGAGAATTTGGCTCTCGCACCGTAACAAAGTCATGTTACACAGGATCCAGCCTTCCTCTGTCTGTCTGGATGGTGTGTTTGATGCACAGATAGCTGAAGTGTGGTCGATGACTCTTGGCTTTTGCTGCTTCCAAGCCTGACACACCAGCAGATAACATCTCCCTACTCGTGCCATGAGCAGCTCATTACTTTCATGCCACAGTCTGTTTCTTATTATTTAACACACCGGCGTCTGGCTGCGTTATACAACCAGCCAAGCTTCCTTTGTTTCACTTCGTCGAGCGATAAGGAAATACAGAATCTATTGTATCGGGGGCTTGGCATTAAAACAACAGTAGAGAAAGCAGAGTGACAGAGCTCTGTGCCGCTCCACCTGTCAATGATACTGATGAATCGCTCAGCGAGATCCGTCTCGGTAATGACAGAGCGTATCATTTTTCCTGTCTGACCCAGTCTGACTCATTCACCTCCTGTTCCTGTGCTTGCCATTCATTCATTCACTTTCTCTGTCTCATTCTCGGCTCCCACACCCACTCTGTCAGGTGTAAATCCTCGAGAATGAAGTGTTGTCTGAATGTTTTGGCTGATGGATTGCTTTCTGGAACAGGAGTCAGCCCGATGTTTGACTGACACACCGGGGTGTATAAAATCATGTAATGGCCATGCAGAGGGATGTCGAGAATTTTTATGCAGCTCTCTGAGTTAGCTGGTATGTCCTCAGGTCAGGGCTGTGGATGGACAGAACAGCTGTTCTTCCGGCGTTTTGGGAATTCCTGCCCCTCCTCCTGTCAGTGCAGAGGTCAGGAGGTGAACAGGACAGATATACCTTCTCTTTTAAAAGGGTGCTGATGCAGTTGTCTGTCAGTTGACTGCGGGTGTCTTGAACTGATGCTTTATAATAAGTCTTTGAAAAGAGGATAAGACACAAGTGCCGTTAAAAGCGAACGTTCAAAGCCAGCACTTGTGTGTGTTTGAAGAAGATGGGTGATTTGACCCCTGTTGTTTGATCCTGTATTTGATGTGGTAACATGGTGCTGGGGGGTCTGCTTTAATCATAACCCTGTGAAGAAGGATGAGACGGATGAAGCTGGCTGTGTTGGAGACTCTCTCATCCCTCCTGGGTCCCAGATCAGGGAACAAAGCCTGTTAGCGAACCCCAGGGAGGTGGTGCATGGCCCAGGCGCCTGCCCAGACACACAGGCCTCTGATTGGAAAGAGGGAAAGGGTGTTCCTGCTTCCCGTAACACGGCGTCTTGTCAGCGCCTCAGGGCAGCTGATGTTTGGCAGATACGGAAACTCAGACATGCCCAGAAGGTGTGTGTGAATGAGTAGTTATGAATGTGAAGCTGATTGGCAGGCCTCCATCATATTTGGCAGAGTTGTATTTAAGTTTGTGTGTTTGTCAAGAAGAGTGATGGCTTGTGCTTGTCAGATAAGAGTTTGTTGAAAAGAGACATACATTTCCGTCATGAATCTTATTGCCAGTGGTGTCTAATGAAAGTTTTGTATAGGTTTGTCTACAGCGCCTATAAAACGCATCCTACACAAAAATTCTTTATAAAAAGTATAGTTACAAGCTAGTATTTCCCCTGCTCTGTACAGTGGAGATGGTGTGCTAGTGATAATGTTAGGGGGTGTTTTGGTGATGATGCTGGTGTTTAGTGTTGCCAAACTTAGCATCTAGTTTGATGGTCATAAAGGTCCATTTTTTTTTTGCAAAGAACCCTCTTCCAGTTGACTTCAGAGTCTCCCACATGCCTTCTGATCAACGCTGGCTAAGATTTAATATAAGCAATCTTTCAAAGTGGCTCTCTGAATTAGTTTATTTTCTTTGGAATTGGTGTTAAAAAAAACAATAATCAGAGAAATGATCAATATGGTATATAATAATGGTCCAGGTTAATAACCTGGTGAAGCAGTCCTCTTCAGTTACTCTAGGACTTTGGTCAGTATTTGTTACTGTCATAACAAGTAATTGAAGCTGTATTTTGTACCGCCTCTGCCAGGTGGTTCTGTGAAGGCCGTGAGCTGCACAACTCTCCTGACATCCAGATCTGGAGGGATGGTGACCTGCACACGCTGGTGATCGCTGAAGCCTTTGAGGAAGACACTGGACGTTACACCTGCGTGGCCTCCAACAGCCTTGGAGCAGACAACACCTCTGCTGAGGTTTACATTGAAGGTCAGAAATGTGTTTTCACCTCACTAAATTACTGAATTGCTTTTGCCAATTTTCTAATTGTGATCTTTCTTATATTGCGATTTGATTTGTAATATATTTTAGTTGAACTTCAGTGCCATATTCACTGTGGCACAGAATTTAAAACATGTTGCACGTGAGGTACAAGGAGAAAGGCATGAATTTGTAAACTATTGACTTGACGGTTTAGACCCTGGGCCAGACATGCTGCATAATGTATGAGGTGTGGCTTATTAAACAATGAGGCTGGGCTTAGGTCAGCTGAACCACAGCATGCATGCCTGAACCGTGTTATATAGATTAATTGCATAAACAATCCCTGAAAGTTTCAATATGCTTGAATCAAATAACACGGAATTACAGCAGTGAATTGCTAATTGCCTTTTTTCAAATTGCAATTTGGATTCAAAATCAATTCATTGTTCAGCCCCGTCTCTTGGTGGCTATTCAGCTGTAACGCACTACTGCACAAACGCAATATTTCTTTAAGGCACAAAGTGGAATGTTGTCCTTCTAGCGCAAGAAAACTGTCTATATAAGACAAGAAATATTATTCTTGTTGCACAGGGTTTTATTTTAAAAATGCAGTCACAAAGCACATTTTTCAAAAAGCAGAATTATTTTCCCAGGAGTCTGTTGTTCATCTGTCTTGGAGAAACTGTACTATATCACATAACAAAAACCACCAATGTTTCTGTTTTCGTCTCTTTGCAGGGGCTTCGTCCTCAGACTCAGAAGGAGAAGGAGCAAAGTCTAGATCAGGAACCATGCCTCAGTACGTAGGTTTTCTGCATGACCTCTTGTGACCGGGTAGCCCAGTGAACCTTGAACCCCTGAACGGGTTAACTGAGCCCTGCAGCAGCTAATCAAGTCTGCTGCCTGCTCCTACTTAACTAGGCCCTTAAAAGACCTTCAAAGAGCCGTAACCCCAACCCAGTACACAGGCCACAATCTTTATAATGAGAGGTGCAGCAGGTTAATATGGTTGAAAAAAATATTATCCTGTTAAGGTTGTCCCCTGCATTAATTTCTAAATGTTAACCTCTTTACCTCACATCACTTTCACTTTTTTCCTTCAAAAATTCTGTTCTGCTTCATACATAAACTAGTGGTAACTTGTAAATTTAATGACAAGATGGGCTATGAGGCAAGGGATTTCTTAACTTTTATTCTATTTTTTCTGGTTCTGTTCCATCCACTATAAAATTAACAGTTTCTATTATCAAAATAATGCATTTGGGAATTTTTTTTGCACGCTACATTACAGTAACCGCTCTGAGTATTTGCTAGTTCTCAGAATGTTTTGGATTATTATCTGTTGTATAAATCTTCCTCCATCTGGACTACTTCCTGATTTATGCTTCCCTTTCTGTTTACAAAACTAAAGCCAAGATCACTGATATCATCTTAATTGCTGGGGAGACAATTTTCTTTCACATTTTAACTAAAGGCGTATAGAGTTGAGACATTTCTCCTTTTTCCGCAGCAAAGTGCTTTTTCTTGTGTGCTAACTTGTGTTTTGCTTATTTTAGAGTGCAGAAGAAGACTACTTCAATGTCCCTAACGATACGCTCATCGTCACCCAAAACCCCCGAGGTGCTTCCTCACCGCTCCACCTTGGTCCAGTCCTTGTCTCAGCCCCCACAGCGGGTAAGAACCTACAGCTAACAGGACAATGGAGTCACATAAGCTCAAACATGTATGAAAATTCTCTTTCTGAAAGGACTCTACTTGTTCAATAAAAATAAATGCGTGTTGCCTTCTAGATGCAGAGCCCGGTGTCTTCGCTGTATGGTGGTGAGGTGTCCGGGCCTCCTCTATTCACTAAGGTAGGCCTGCTTATACAACATACTATCCATGAAAAGTAAAGTCTTGATTATGCTCCCTTGCAGTCCGCTTGAACCTACTTGTTCCATACATACGTAGTAGGTTGTAACTACATATTTGCACTATGGCCCTCATGCTGCAGTTGCAGTACAGTTACATAATTTTTGTGCTCCACATGGACGCGGAAAGTGTTGCATAAAATTTGCATCCACATTGTGACTATCACTACAAGGGCAGTAGTGCAAATGTGATTACATAGATACAACCTACTGCCTATGCCTACTTCCAAGCAGACTCTTGTGGGAGAGAAAGGAAGGTATAAAAGCAACAAATACGAATCCATGGTATCCACAGCTATCTGTATGTACATCTGCACGGAGGTATAATGTAGATTTACTACTTTTCTAGGGTGCAGGAGTCTGCCTAGAGGACTACATAGGCCGTATTGATGTATTCAGTGCATGTACAGTATATTACTGCCAAGCATACACACATACACACTATTGCCTTTGTAGCCTTGCAAGCCATTCTCTCAGACTTGGGCAGATTGACGAATTTGCACCACATGGACCCTTGCACAGTCATTGACACAGAAATGTACTGTAAGAAAAGTTCTTAATGTAACAGAATGTGCATTCTGGGCTCAATCTTACAGCAACAAAGGTTAGTACAGGAAGGAGCAGCTTCTCTTGGTGTACTGCTCCTTCTGCAACTGCAACAGACAAGGTCACTATAGGACTTTATGAGTGTCTACACAACATTCAGCAAGCAGTATTTTTTCCATCAGCTACTTTAAATCTTTCATTATACACCCTTGCAGGCATGCATATGGACACATAGTTGTTTTTTTTTTCACTTTCCTAGACCATGGGAGTCTGCTTGGAAGACTCCGTTTCATACACGTGTAGGTGGTCATATCTATATATTCCATGCATACACACTACTGCTGCATGCACTGTTGCCCTTGAAACACAGTCACTGTGCGAGCAACCACGCAGACACTTCGGGCTGCACACAGGTGTGCGTGGAGAAGACTCTTTTCCATCCATGTGCAGTATGTTGTATTTTGGTATTCCGTGCATACACACCACTGACAAGGATGTGCACTATTGCCCTTGTTGTGTAGTCACTGTCCACACGCAAACTTTTGGCTGCACATGGAAGGGTTTGTACGGACACTGTGTTCTGATGAAATTTACATCACGTGGGTCCTGACACAAACCGTATAAAACTGTCTTCAGTGGACTCCCAAACTTTATGCACATATGTGATTGTTGGAAGTCATTCCGAAACCATGATCGTTACCATACTGCTCTAACAGCCTCCACTCTTCTGGTTGCATTAAGATTTTGGTACCTGGCTGCGGGCATGCCATTCAGCCTCCAAATCATTAACCAGCTGGCATTTTAATTAATCCCAAAGGTCTTAGATGTTTCCCAAACCAAACTGTTGCCACAAAGTTAGAGGCCTGCCATTGTCTAGAATATTTTTTAACTTATAGCATTAAGACATCCCTTAAATGGAACTAAGAGACTTTGGTCCAAATCATGAAAAGCAGCCATAGATACATAGATACAGTACATCCTGCATGCGAGTCATGCACACAGAACCTGATACACATGTCCTCAGACTCTTTGCCTTCCCATAATAACAGCATGCGGTAATGTGGCTTTCGGCAGTGGGGGTCAGATAAAACATAGACTCTGACTAGAGCTCCTCCTCCAGCTCTAGAACACCCTCTTCCAGCTCAGACTCTTCAACACTCCCCCGGCACAGCAGCCCCCTCCGGCTCCCCCACCCTCAGGCTGTGGGTCTTGTGATGGCGGGACTGAGGCAGAGCTTCAAACGGTCCTGCCAAACCCACAAGGGTCAGGTCTCTTTCACTCTCATTCAGCCAGTCAGGCCCTAAATCATTTTCCAGTTCATTACAAAAAGACATTTGTTTTTCTTCACCCCCACACCCAGCCTCCTTTAAAAAAACTGTCGCGGGCTTTAATCATCTCAATGAGAGGATGTTCAAGTCACTGTGATGTCACCCTCTACAGCACACCCACACACATACACTGTCAGACACATGATGTGCATTCCTCTCTTGGTTTTTCCCAAAATACGCCCATGCTAACAACACCCAGCGAGAGGCTCTGCGGCACATTCATCCACACTGACACTGAGTGCTTCTTGCTGATGGATATTCCAGTCTGTGTCACCGTGGCTTCTCCATCAGCTCCCATGTGGATGTTTTTTTAGTTCTGCAACACTATAAGATGTCATGTGATGGATTAGACAGAGGAGTTAAATCCACATTTGTCAGGAGGAGGTCCTACAATTTGAAATTTGAGCACATGCATTCGAGGTTGAGTCCTTGCTACACTTAATATAAATGCTTAAAAGCACCATTTTCACACATTTCTAGGTTTATAGGTGTAAGTGTTACAGTCAGCATACAGCAGAGTCTAATATACATTGATCAGCCACAACCTTTTAAGCACTGACAGGTGGTCATCTCATTCCAAAGTAATGTTCTGCTGGGAAATCTCAGATCCTGGCATGCACATGGATGTTACTTTGACATGTAACATCCACCTAAACGTTGCTGACAGTGGCAGCTGTCTTCTCCAGCAGGACAATGTGGCCCGCGACACCACAAAAACTGCACAGGAACGGCTCGAGGAACATGACAAAGGCTTCAAGTCCTTGACTGAACTTCCAAACTTCCTTAATCCCAGTGTGCTAGCAACATGACTCAAAGGATCCGCTGCCAATGTCCTGTTGCCAAATTCTACAAAACACCTATAAAGGCCCCTTGTCTGTGCCCAGATGGTACAAGGGTGACCTAAACAATATTAGGCAGGTGGTTTGATTGTTGTGTAGATTAACATAGTCTATTAAGCTGCTAACTAATGGTAGTTTAAACTATTTTTTTTGCATGTTTTCCCATAGTCTGATAGCTATCTCTTAAAAACTTGTTTAGGGAAGATCCCCTCCCACAGACCTCCAGCGGTCATCCAATATCTTTCAGTGATGATAAACAGATGCTGAAAAGATTGCTTACGTTTGACAACTTGTCAAATATAACTTGCAATTTCAGTTCGTCATTATCCAAATATTTAAGAAATTATTTCATCATTTGCGACAAAGTAAACTGAGGTTTTTTTAAAAACCGTCAGCACTTAGTAACAGCTGTTTGGAGCAAAACAGATGCTGGTTTTAGGCTAAAGTTGAAACTAATGGACAGCATAAACATTTAGATTTAGGACTATTTTTGGATTACGCGATGTGCAAAGCAAATGGAGCAGAAAGTTAAAAAAAAATAAAAATGTCAGCAGAATTCAGGCTCTTGGAAGTAAACATCCTTTCGTATTATTAGTTTATTGTATATGTGAAGAAAACCAGCAAAAAGAGATACTGGCTGATCGGACCATTTGCTGCATGTCATTCCCTTCCAGTCTCTCTTTACTGTCTCTTTCAAATAAAGGCACAACAATGCTGTGAAATATAATTTTAAAAAGAAATGCTACAGGAAAAAGGGTGAATTCTACAAATATGATGGCTATTTCGTTCTATCTTGGTTGGAAATGCATCCAGAATCGTGTTGGAAGGTTACTAGAATGAAAAAAGGCTAGAGCCAGCACCACATTGTCCAGTGAGAATGAGCTTCAAGACGGCTTCTGATGAGCTCTCATTTCCTTAGCTTGAGCACATCACCTGTATGACTCTCTGTCTCTATGTTATCAGTCGAATCTGAAGTAGATTTATTCTTTTCATAACCGGTTTCATTCTTTTCTCATGTTCTCGTCATCTGTCACTTGCTCTTTTTTCTTATTACCTTTCTCCTACTTTTTAATTTTTGAAATGTACTCCTCCGTGGCTGATCAACCTTTTCTCTGTGCAGCTGTTGCAGGACGCCCAGGCGTCTGAGGGACAGGTGGTGGTTCTGGAGTGCAGAGTCCGCGGAGGTCCTCCTCTGCAGGTCCGATGGTACCACCAGGGAAACGAGATCCTGGACTCCCCCGACTTTCGTATTCTGCAGAAAAGTAAGATGCTGATAAGCTCATTGTGGCTGATTTATTTTACATTTTGAACACCAAACTGATAGATGCAAACAAACTTAATATTTTTGTTTTCCTTCTCTTCCTCTCTGCCTGTATCTCGCTGTGAATCAGAGCCTCGTTCAGCAGCTGAGTCAGGTACGTCGCCTCAGTTCCTCCCAGTTCCGTGACAGTGTGACGACACACTGCTTTCATGTTTGCAGCCCTAGTCAGCGGGTAAAATTAGTAATGGATTAGAAGCTTTGTCTGGAGGCTGAAAGTGAGCTGTAGCTTTGGTCGTGACTACATCAGATCATGGCTTAATAAGTCTCACAGAACACTCATTATCACATCTATTATAGTCAGAGGGAGTCCCTGAGAAGGTCTGTGAAACCCCATCACCTGCAAACTCACCTGAAAACTCCAGCATGTAAATAATGACACTAATTTATGTCAGCTGTGTGACTCAGGGGTCATTTCAGGTGTTTCCTTCAGGCTGTGAATCACTCAGACGTCCCTGAACATCTGTGCTGCTGTTTATGATTGTCTCTGTCTATGCGTCACCAGTGCTTACATCCAGGCTTGTTCAGCTTCTTTCTGCTCGCCGATTTCTGTGTGTCTGAATAGTGACTCACCAGTCTACGTGACATATCCATCAACAGGCTGACATAACTTATCCCGCAGTCTGTCTGATGTCTCTATTCCACCTAATTACAAACAAATCAAGTGTCAACATGTCACTTCATTTCATGCCTGAGTTGAATCTGTCAGCTTCAGTTGTCTTAATTCCACCCATCATCATGAACTACTTCTGACATCATATCTTGGATCATAAACTGGTTAAGGTGTACTGACTAATTTTTTTTAAAACATATTTTTAGAGGAGATCTGCACCCTGGTGATAGCCGAGGCCTTTCCAGAGGACGGAGGTCTGTTCAGCTGCACAGCGTCCAACCCGTACGGCTCAGTTAACAGCACGGCTCAACTCAGCGTCACTCCAGGTTCGTCCAGCATCAGTCAGCGTGGTCAACTGGTTGAACTGGTCAACTGAATGTTGAAGCAGGATTGGAGCTTTTTTTTTTCTAAAGAATCTCCATGAACTATGACCAGGAAAGTGATGGCATCTCCTGCAAAAAATAACAAGTCACTTGTTCATTCCATGCCATGAGTTCAAGATGCCATGAAACAAAAGTAACCTGCTCTGTAAAAATAAATCGTCCCATTAGATAAAACTAGAACTAGCACTGAGGCCTCACAAGATGAAGGTCCTGGGTTGAAACCCTGGCAACAATATTATTTTTTTAAATATCCTGGAAAAAAAAGAAAATCTGGCAGCAAGTGTGCCTGAAAAAAACCCAAAATATTTAATATTCAAAAACTGTCAAAATAATATCTGTAAAAGAATTCTACTTTTTAGCTGATTTAAAAAGAATAAACATAATAATTTTACAGTCACACATTTCAAAAGAACAAGTTATTGCAAAGGTTTGATTTGTATTTTATTTACTGTGTAGACCTAAACTTATCTAAACTTTAACCACGTGCGTGAGGCCAGTGTCGAGTCTCTGCATCCAACCTGCATGTGCATTCAAATGAATTACCTGTAGCCACTAAATTTAACTATTATCCATGGTATACATAAATACATTTTAAATAAGTTCTTTGTTACCTTTAGTCGGTTATTTTCTTCACAAATAGTTATACTCAAGTGTAATTTAACGATTGCAACAACACTTTCACTTAAGTACAGTACATTCGTTCAGAACTCCTCTGTGGTGAAGCATATGTGTGAGTGCTTTAACATGTGGTTTCAGTCCTTTGTTGAAGCCATGTGGAAAACACCCACACTTTAAAGGTTTTACACAGTGAAACTAATTGACTTTGTAACTCAGTAACTAATTTCATACATATGTGTCCTCAAAATGTTGACTTTTTGGCTTTGACTTTAGTTCCAGTTTTAGGTTTTAGGCTCCAATGGAATTGCCAGACGTTGTATTTTCAAGTTTTGTGAACAGATCATGGTTTAGACTCACCTTAACTAACTAGTCAACTTAATGTCCTACAAACAGTGGCACCAAAACATTAGTGTCAATTTTTTATCTGCTTAATTTTAAGCATAACTAATTACTGTTTTGCTATGTTAAATTCCTCCAGTGTGACATCAGTTCTTGTCATCGGAAGGTTTATATCTCACTGTAAAATTAAACAAAGATGAAATGCATCTTTTCAGAACAAAAGTAGTCTGGCAGATGAATCAAGGTTTGTTCATTGCAATAATATTTGATAGTCTGTTAGTTCCCTGGAGGTCCTGCAGTTTGGGGTGATTTATACAAACTCTGTCTTAATAAGATGACCATCCCTTGTTTTGTCTGTTATTGTGTAGTCTGTATGGGAGAAGGGTGAGATGTGAGCGCAGGATTACAAATATCTCTGTGTTACAGACTGAACTGGGTCTGTACAGTGCAGGACTTTAAAGGAAAGGCTGAATAAACAGGAATTGCATCAGACTGACTGGACCCAGCTGCTGCTTCAGATCAGATCAGCCATGATATAGTCGTGTATGTGTGTGTGCGTGTGTGTGTGTGTGTGTGTGTGTGTGTGTGTGTGTGTGTGNGTGTGTGTGTGTGTGTGTGTGTGTGTGTGTTATCTTCATGCACTGAGGTATGCAGTGGCCAAAAGAAAAACTAAACATTAAAGTCCAAATTTTCCACTTTCCCTCTTGTTTGTTTCCCTCTGCAGCCGAGGACTCGTCCAGTAATGGTATGTCTGGTGACAGCTCAGGGTTTGAGGATGCAGCGGCCTTCCCTCCTCCTCCCCCACCCAACGAGATCAGCCTCCTGGAGCTGCCACCCAAGACGCAGCCCGGCACCGAGGCTTTCCACGTCAAGGAGCTGGAGATCTGGCCCAGCGTGTCAGCTCTGCCTCCAGTGCAGATGAGCTCGGAGAATGGCCAACCTCCGAATCCACCATCACCTCCAAGTCTGCCGAAAGAGACCCCACTTCCACCCCCGCCTCCACCTCCACCTCTGCCACAGTTTGACCTCACGGCAGATGTCGCAGCTCCAAGTCCAGGCTCACCTCCAACTCCGGGCAAGCTGTCTCCATCCCCTGGAAGTAATGGTCCTCCACTGCCTACCAAACCCAAACCAAAGCTGTGAGTACCTGTCATGTCTGTGCCTCCAGGGGCGGGAGAGTCACCAGGGAGGGCTCGTGGGAGGGAGCCAGACTGGGAGGACTGTCTGAGACATGGTGGAAATGATAGTGTGTCAGCTTTATGAAAGGGTTAAAGGGGGAATCCCCAGCCGTTTACAGAACAAAAGCATTCCCCTGCTTTCATGTTGGTGTCAGTGTGGCATCATGTGTGCCAGGGTGAGTCTGCCAGCTGCCGTCTGTCTGTGCCTGTAAACAGATCTGTGTGGCTTTTGCTGGATGGCTCCTATTGTTTCTGTCTGACCTCGGACTGCATGGCCAGCCCAGGACAGAGCACTCGTGTTTTTTCCTGAGCGCCTTTTCTGACAGCTCTATAGGGATCAGGTAGGATGTCACTGTTGGGAGATAAGAGCTGGGAACTGAATGGCTGTTTTTTCAAAAACCCTGTGTTTGGAGATGTTTGCGGAGAACAAGCCTGCAAGTCTGCATGGATCTTTTTTTTTGAATCTCACTTGCTGATGCACTTTTTTTTTTTGGAGGGAACATAGTTGACAGCTGGACAGAAATAAGGAGAGCGAAAGAGAGAGAGAGCATGAGAAAGACAGGTGATGGCACGCAACAAAACTCTATGTTCAGACTCAAATCAGGAATGTCGCGATTAAGTCGTTCAAATCTTAATAGCACCAAAGTTCCAGGATGCCTCACTGCTACATGCAGAAATACTAGAAGTGTATTGATTAATTCTGAGATCTTTATTTTCGTCTTTGCATGTAGCTTTTTAGCCATGTTAGCAACATGTTGCTACAGGTGGCATCTTAACAACCATCAGATGAACCATCATTAAATTTTGTACAAAGGTTCATGATTTCCAGAGGATAGACCCAACTACCTTTGATCGGAGTATAATATCTCTGAAAATCTAGCTGGATTGCTGAAAGCTGCTCTAGATATCTATTCAAGCGTCCTTTAGGATGTAACCGTAACAACTAAAGTGATGGCTGCATCATAGGCCTCACACTTTGCACAGACATTCATGGTTGCCAGAGGATGAATCCTGATGATTTAAAGGTGGAGTAAGCCACACTTTATAAAGTTTGTTTATATATGAGTTCAACAGTCAAATAAACATAGCCCTCCCTTCAATGCTCCTTCAGAAGCCTCGACTCCTAAATACATGGACAAACGTTGCCATGGCAACAACACAAACAACTGGACCAAAAGTGAAATGTTCCAGCTTTATACAGCTTGAAATTGGATGTCTCTGTCCTCATAGCTGAAGCAAAACAGATGTTGCAATATATCAGATGGATGACACGTAAGCACACAAACAGCATCTGAAACACAACAAAGTAAAAACTAGCAAGAGTTTGGGAAGATGGTTTTTACGGAGCCACATCCAGCACCTGCAGCAACCTGCTGCAAGGAGGAGCCTAGCGAACAATACATTCTTCATACCGACGAGAGGATGGGAGTCTTGGCCTGGGTCCATGAACAAAGACGCAGAACTCGGTGGTACTCGCTCAATGTTTGCTCTTTGAGACAGGAAGGCGATAAGGGGTTGCGACTGTCACCTGCTCTGAAGACTGCTGCTGCATAAAAACCATCCACTGCAAAAAATTAAATAACAAATTAAATTAAATAAATAAAGGAGAAAAAACAGAAACAGGTATATCACCCTGTTCTTATATGTGGGGATTCACAGGGCTGTCCTGTGCATGTATGAGCATGAATAAGCTTAACCGTGGTTGGATGAATACTGTTGTGTGGATCAATATGAGCCTTTGTTTTTTCCCATTCACACTTGACTCACTAAAGTAGCTGAATTTGACAAAGTGTTTTGGATTAGAATGGCTGCCTCCACCTTTAAGTGCTTCCCTGAATTTTCATGTATTGCTGTAAATCTTGGTGCCGACATTCATAGTCGCAAGAGGATGCATTATGAAAATCTTTGATCTCCTGACTTTTCACCTAGAGCTATTATCAAGTTAAAAAATATGTGTTTATCTAACATCTTTAGTTTATGCCCACACATTTCCCATCAGCCTAAAGTTATTTTTGATTACTTAGCAAATATTCTTGTGCGAACATGCAAAACTAAAATGGTAAAACATTATACCTGCTGAACATCGATATTCTATTAATTCCGACTTTGGTGTTTAGTTCAAAGCATGATTGTGCCAAAACACAGCTTCACATAGCTGCTAGCATGGCTCTACACTGAGTCTTGTTCCCTTTTATCTAATATTTTGACTTAGCTACACTGTTACCTCGCAGCAAGAAGGTTGCCAGTTCGCGTACCAATTGGGGCACCAGAATCTTTCTGCGTGGAGTTTGCATGTTCTCCCCGTACAGCGTGGGTTCTCTCCGGGTTCTCCGGCTTCCTCCCACACAGTCCAAAAACATGTTGAGGTTAATTGGTGATTCTAAATTGTCCGTATGTGTGAATGTGAGTGTGCTTGGTTGTCTGTCTCTAAGTGTAGCCCTGTGATAGACTGGCGACCTGTCCAGGGTGTCCCCTGCCTTCACCCTAAGTCGGCTGGGATAGACTCCAGTCCCCCCGCGACCTTAGTGAGAATTAAGAGGTGTATAGATAATGGATGGATGGATGGACTTAGCTATTAGGGATTTTTTTGTAGTGATTTCTAAAATTACTGTATGATGCCTGTCGCAATGTTGAGCAGTCCCATCAGCATCTATCCAATGCAGATGGTTAACGTGGACGTTGCTCTGGCTAATAGTACGTCAGGCTGCATGTAGCCTAGAGTTTGATTATGGTGCAGTGACGCTCGGTTCTTGCATTGCAAAGTTCACTTTCACTGCATGTGTACTGAGTTTGATTCCTGCTTATGGGTGCTGTTGCATATCTGTTGATGTAAACGTTATGACTTGTTAATTCTGTGCTTCCAGAGCTGTGAATATAGAGGAGGAGGCAGAAAATTACAGGTAAATATTTGGATGTGAAGGTGATGCTCTGGATTTAGTTTGAGCTTTGCACCATGTTCTGTAGCCCTCATTAACTAAGCTATGATAGCTGCAAATACAGAATTGACATCAGAAATGACATTTAAAGGTTCATAGGTTCCCAAACAACACACAAAAAAAAACTATTAACTAGTCAAAATATTGTATACTTTGACTTAGGTCATGTAGACTATGTTTAGATGCTTTAATGTTCAAAATACACATTACTTTTCTTATACTATGCATTGCTGCAGTGTGTCTCTTTAAGGCCAGTCTGCTCTGATTGGTCAGCTGGCCCGACAAAATGAGATCATGTTGGTTAATAATAACAGATGTATGAGTGCAGGCAGAGATACGTAGCTGGAGCAGAAGCAACTCTCATGAAGAAATAACAGTGAACTTTAAGGAAGTTGCTCATTTTGTTAATTTTTTGTTTGAGAGCCAGAATAGCTGTTAGGCAGGTGTTATACAATTGTGTTACATGGTGATGCAGATAAGTAACAGAAGAAAAGCCTGGACTGAAACGAGGCAGATAAGGAGCAGTGTTGTCTGTGGGAGCGAATAACCCCGTCTGTCTTGGACTTTGGGCTTTGCAAATGTACAGGCCTTTTGCATGCAAAACAGGCCTCTTCATTCTAGAGTTATGTCAAAAGTGAAACTGATAAATAAGCTCAGATGTGTACAATACTACATACAATAGACTGACGTATGAGGAACACTGGGTTTCACTTCTTGCTTGCTTTGGGGTTTCTCTGAACAGCAGGGTGACAGTAAAGCTCCTTCTGTGAGTTTTTCCACAATAACAGCACGAACCCGCTGCTAGAAGCAATCAGCCCCCAACTGTGAGGCAATTAGAGAGCGTAAGCCACCCCTCGCCTGCCCTCTCCCCTTTAAATTCTGTAATTACACAGTAAAAACAGCAGCCCTACCATTACCCAAAGGTCATGCTTCTGCCAGACTGAACTCTGTTTCCTGCATGAACCGAGGCCGTCCACTCTCGATCTAAAGCCCTCCGAGCTTATCATTCAGCTCATCGCATCCTGTTTGTCGTGTGGCTCTTCCCGCACACGCTGATGTACTGTTTCTCCTCCGGGAGCCACAAGCCGCTGTGAAACATCAACAGAACGCTTTGAAAAGTAATCCCACGTTGTCATTTTAATAACTTTTTTTTGTAGGAGTTCTCTTAATAAGCACTTTCTAACAAACCACTTTGTTAAATTGCTATAACTTCAATAGACAGAGTGGAAACTATGACCCCAACGTCTTGTATATTTAAAATAAGGCTTTATCGAGAAATAGCTGCGTTTTATTGCATTTACATAAAGGCAGTAGGGATCAGTATGAACTGAGTTTTATTGTCTGAGTGAGCAGTTCCCTCAGCTTAAGGGATTAGTGTCTAGACTTTAATACTCATTTCTAGTGGAGTTCTGTACGTTTAAGCTTTTACCTCCAAGAAAAGTGACTCATATGAAAATATCCCCCAAAAATATTGCACAGCATTTCCACATCATTTATAAAAGGACCGCTGCATCAAATAAAATACCATATTAGAGTTTTTATTAAATGGGGGAGGTGTGTTCATGTTCGCAAATCTAGAATAAATTGTTCCAAATTAAAGGAACAACACCCTGTAAGGGATGATTTTTGCTTCAATAACACTGAGCTGATGAGATGGAGGAAGCTGTTGTGTGACTTGGCAGGCAGGAGGGACCGCAGGAGGCCTGAGCTGTGAAAACAGACTCGCTGTTTTTCTGTGCTGAAGGAAGAGAGAGTGAGGGTTGGTGGTTATTTGGGTCTGATGCCCGGCGTCGATACCAGACATCAGCATAAGAATCAAAGGAAATTCTCAGGGGGGAGGCCCTGATTGTCTGGTTGGATTAGAACCAAGGTTTGAGTTTGGAGAGAGGTCAAAGTCTGTTACCACGAGGTTGAGAAGCACTAAACAGCAAGCTGGAGGCAGGTTCATCTGGAAGGGGTCAACTGATTATCAGCTGAACCAGTTATCAAATATAATATTCAAAATTTTTTCCAATTTAGAAGATG